TTCAATATCGATTTCGATGTTAATATCGCCCATCACTACTTCAAGTTCAATTAGTTACAAAGAGAATCTAATTCTTGATATTTACCTTCAAAATGAGAACTACATTATGTATTACGATGAACTGTATTATGATGAATTTGTGAATGAAGTTAATGTGAGTATTTCCCTTTGCTTTTATTCACGTTAATGATCTTTGATTTATCACAATCACAATAACACAATATTATGAAAGGCATCATGCATTGAAGTTTATTATTTACTTATTAAACAGAGTTTTCAGATTCATTCAGTTATCAAAATTATTAAAAAAAAGATTTTAGGTATGATTCTCTAGTAACGAAATGCATGCATCTCTCGATTATTAATAGAATTGGATTTTTAATGCTTTCTCAAAGTAAAACAAATGTCATTTCTGATATTTAGTTAAGCGTTATTTAGTTAAAAGAGAATCACATTCACGCATTTTGTCTCTTAACTTTTGATTAGCTTTTACCTGGAATTGGATGCCCACATTACTTATCCATAAGTGAAGCTAAATACCCGTCATTGGAAGCTGATTATTTACATTACACTATGTACGAGTATATTCAAGGTTCAACTACTACTCGAACATTCAGTGAGGTTAGGTTATTCGTTCAAGTTTTTCCAATGTTACATTCATTTCATTTCATTTCATTTCCAGATTTACGCATCAGGAAAGCATAACATATTACGAATAAAATCAACTCTTCTTGGTGTAAAAACGGAAGCTGTTTATGATTATAACCTCGGAGTTTCTTACCTCTTCGAGGAGGGTGGATCTTGTAACGTATTTCCCGCAGATAAAAATTCACCTGGAATCGAATCTGATGGTCGCTTCTATTTACACAGTCTTTTCCTTTTTGATTCTAATTTCCAATATCTTGGAAAGTTCCACTTAGTAAGTAACCTACCAACATTTGAAATTTTCCTGATGATTCATTTAATCATATTTAGGGGATATTCATGATAAAATTTTCTTGTTATGATGCCACTTCCATGAATGTGGAGGTGAAAATGAAATGAAAATCTAACCTTCATTATGTAAAAGAATATACAGCGTTATATTAATTCAACTGGTGGCTAAAAAAATTGAATATAAAATGAATTTTATTAATATTTAATTGATAATTGGATATAACAAGATTGAATATGTAGTTAACAATAACTATTTTGAAACTATCCTAGGAACACCGATCTGGACTTCCCGTATATGCATGGGAATCAATCAGATTCAATGTTAATATCAATGGGAAAAAGGTCGATAAAGCTGTCATCACTCAATATTTTGCTAAATCGGTAAGTTTATTATAGTTTTAATTACTTTAAGTACTTTAAAAAAAACTATTGCTGAAAAAGCGAATAATGTTGTAATACCAAAATAAAAATAAATGATAAAAACAAATGTACTAATAAATGTAGTGAAAATAGTGAAAATAATGTTATTATAAGATAAGATAACCTAACATATGATTTTCTTGTGTGACTCAATTGTTTTTATTTCTCATTCAATTTGTCCTGAAACATTCAATCAAAATGGTTTTTAGCATGGCAGTGAAATATTTTATGGCTATACGCTTGTCAGTACCGAAATCGCCATCTATAAATTGGATTCAACGGTAAGTATTCATTTAAATCATTATGATTTGCAAAATATTAATGTTTCTTTACACATTTTTGTATTTTGCTAGAAAAAAACTTACACTTTCACGGATAGAATCACAAGAGATTACATGAACTTTGAAAAGGCCGGATTTGAAGATGAACTTCATGATATTTTTACATTGAAAGATTGTAAATACTTGTCTAGTGATAAAACATTAACCCTCGCCTTTAAATTACAACATGAAGGTATGTAATGGTCAATATTGCAAAAACTGAGCAATGTGGTTTACGAAGACCACATCTTCCATTTATTAATAAGTTCAGTGATATGTTGCAGATTTTTAGTTATTACCTGATGTTAGCCACATTCAATTTATCTCATTCACTGAAGATAAAAATTAATTGTTGCTGACTTATTGAATAATTACAATCTTTCAAAATTGAAATTGACTGTAATGAAAGGCAGTAATGTAGTACAATGTAACAATGGAAGGCTATCTATTAATAATTGATCTTAAATACTTATAACTGCTGATTTTCTTTTTCCATTTCAGTTTACGATCGTTCTTCACAAAAACTCACGGAAGATCATGTTTACGAGTTGAAACAGCGCTTCATGTATTACATTATTTCATCCAAAAAAATCAGTCGACTTCGAATCGATACTGTTCATCTTAATTTCAATGACGCACAACTTGAAATAGAAGTGACATTTCTGGATACACTTAGATTGCAATGTAATTATTTTTTGACATTTTATATTCAGTAAATTTAATTCAATTTCTTCTTCAGTTACTTTCAGGGCTAAAACTATGTCTGTCAGTGCAGATACATTTAAAAAGCTGAACAAAATCAAAGCAAGCAATGAAACTGCATGTTTGGACGAATTATCAAAATTTTATGATCAGCCCAAGTATATATCTCTGCACCTGCACATTTTGATTCATTTGAAAACTAATGATATTGTTCTTTTCTCATTTAGTGTAGTAATTTATAGACCATCAGATTTTTCCTGTGGATATTCGACAGATTTTGAAGATCTCAAGGAAGATGCAGAAATCGGAGAACCATGCAGTGTCTATCACTTTCCATTGAAAAATTTGCGTCGCATCAACCAAGAAATACCACTCGATCAAATTCACAATACTTTTTTAAAAGAAGTAGAAATTCGTTATTCTTTGTTTAATGCATATAGTGGTAGGTACCTCTCAGCCTTTAGCTGTAATGAGCATACAGATGATATTTCCCTTTTTGAGTACTTTTAGCTTCCGAATCCTTCCTCATTAATCTAGTACCATCTGGCAATTTAAATATTTTGAATAATCTGGTTGTAAAATTTAGAGGTATAAAACTATCTTAAGAGTGTCAGACTACTTCATAAGTTAACAAGTAGAATTTTTTACCAATCAAATGTTCTTAGTTTTGAAATTCTGGCGCTTTTGTCAATAAGTGGAAATATTCTGCTCCAGATCTAGAACCTAGACCTAAAGTTTCTTTTTGTAACCTTTTCTTTCAAGACGGACTTTTTAAATTAATCGATGTCATCGATAAAACGAAAAACAAAGATACCTCGGCTGGTGGCTTTCAATCCACAATTAGAGTTGGTGAAAAATTAAAAAGTAATGATCAAGTTACAGTGACCGTTCCAGATGTGAAAACATTGACTGATTGTTATCGAAACTGTCATGATTCAGAGCAACTTAAATGCAACATTTTCTCATTCTGTTCAAATGGTGACTGTAGAGTCAGCAGCTTATTGACTGTGGACCTGTATAATGAATCGCACGTTGAACAAGACAAATCCTGTTCTATTCACGCTCTGAATTCTCTGAATGATTACTTAGAAGTACCTCATAGAAAATTTAAAAGCCCGACTTCAATCGCAGTCGACAAAAGTGTTGATGCTTGTGCAGAATCTTGTCATGCTTCATCTGATTGTTTTTCATTCCAATGGTGTGATTATCAATGTAGTTTTGGTGGTTTTTATACAGATGCAGCCACTGAATATGATGGAGAATGCAGTGTATTTCTTCGTAAGTATTCTTCGAAATAAGCAACAAGTTTTGTTATATCTAATTATTGTTTATTAATCCATGAATTCAATTAGCCAAAGTATCTGAAAAATACCAAAAGGCTGGAACCAAAATCGTATCAGATGTGCTTTACACTGAAATGAATTTAAATTTTGAACAATGTGCATCATTATGTCATGGATGGTCCGATGGTGAAACTGGATGTAAATCATTTAATTATTGCCCTAAAAGTAAAACAGAAAGTTCTTGTTCATTAACTCAATTTTCAGTTAAGAGCTCAAATACTAAGACCATCGAAGGAGGTGATTGCTCAAATTACGAGTTGAAAGTGGAATCTAATGGAAAGAAAAGTAAAGAATCTAGTTCAACAGCAGCCGGGACAAGTGGATCAAGTGCTTTTGGAATAATTATGCTGTTCTTGCTTGTCGGTGCTTTATTGGGATTCGCTGCACCATTCGGTTACAAAAAAGTTGAACAAATGCGTAGTGCTTCAGAAGCCAACGAAAGTTTCACTTGGACAAGACAAGTAAATGAGCAAGCTGAGAATATCAGTTGAATTACTGTTCACAACATCATAGTACATGAAATTGCTGACCAATCGTCAATTTTTTTATGAACTTTATCACTGCTTTTCAAATTTTAAAAGAGATTTGAATGACAGTACTACTCGTTTTATTTTTATCTAATGAACTTTATTACAAATGAAAATCAATCATAGTTTGTTCTGAATTATAAAGCAAATTGATAATTAAAGGTTTGTCATCTATTTGGATGCGAGTGAAATTTCAAAATCAACCTTTCTTTATAATTGATCTTCACGTTATAACTACACTGCTGGCAATAAGTTTGAGGACAGTATTTTTATTGCATAATTTTTCTGTTAAATGATTGGTTGTTTACTGGTTAGTATCAATTGAAAGTCGCTGCAAAATTACGTATTTTAAGTTAAAAAAATTAGGGGAAAAAATAGATTAGTTAAGAAAATTTGCGAAAAATAGTTTTGCGCATGGCAAAAATTATGAGAAGAGAAATTATGAACAATTAATAATCGATTTGCGATCCATTAGCCTTAATCACTCCAAAAATTCTTGTGTCCATAGACCTTATGAGTGTTTGTATGTAACTTGGATCATATTGTACCAGATTTCTTGAACGCAGCCCCGTAGTTCGTTTATCGTTCGAAATCGTCTCTGATTTTTAGAAACTTTTTGAGCTATTAATCCCCAGAGATTTTCAATCGGGTTCAGATCAGATGAAAATGATGGCTAATCTAATAGTTGAACATTTACCTACTTAAAATATTCTAACGATGATTAGGAAGTGTGAATTCTGGCATTATCTTGTTGATAAATCCAGTCATTCCCATTTTTAATCAGATTTTTCGATGAAACTTTTTTCTAGTCGCCGCTATTCATCCTCATAGTTATCCTAACTAATGGTAAAACGCCATTGAACAAAAATCATTAGCGAACCACCTCCAGTATCGCAATTCAAAAAAATATTTTTATCATTTCGAATGTCATGCCAATAACACTTTTGTCCATCAAATTGTCAAGATTTAATTTTATTGCATATCACACGGATCCATTTGTCACCATAACCCATGTGTTTTTTGCAAATACAAGTCGGGCACTGATATGGTTCTCTGTTAACCTTGGATGATGATCCATTGATTCGTACTCCATGAATCCTGAATCTTGAAACGCGCTCGAAACGGTCCTACGGAAACTGGAAGTTGAGTTTCTTTTCGGATATCATTGCATGAATGTTTACCTTCAGCAGACAGCCTTAAAATTCATTTACAATCGCGTTCAGATAACTTTTTCGGTCGTTCAGATTTCGGAGTTGAACCATTATTCTCACCTAACTTGAGACAATTTGCCACCACAGTCTTAGATCTGCTATTTTTTCAGAAATTTGTCTTATTGATAGCTTTCGATCATGATAAGCCTTGATTGCACCAATTTTCTCACTTGGTAGCTTAGTTCCAGATGGCATGGTGTTAGAAGAAAAAACACGAAAATTCGAAGAAAAATTGAAAATTGCAATTGAAGAATTGCTTGAGCACTGATCGATGGTAACTTAGTGCATGAATATTTCTGAGCGACTCTGACCATATTTAACCCTTAATTGTCATCTAGGGCCGACCTGATTGAGAATAGAATTCTGTCCTCATAATGTTTGACATATGTTTAAACGTATTTTCGATTTTTAATCCAATCAATACTTCTTAGCCTTCAAAGTCGGAAGATTTCTAACTCAAAATTTCTTAAAATTCAATAATCTAACAAAAAAATTTGATTAGCGCACTAATTGGATCAAATAGTTGAAATATTCAGAAAAATCTGCTGTTCTCAAACTTATTGCCAGGAGTGTATAATGAAGCCAGCTATGTTTTTGCCTTTTCTTCACTTTAAAGTCCAATTGATGCTTTCTTGGTTATTTTTTAGATCATTTTTGCCCTGATAGAGCCTTTATCCACTTTAATTTTTTTATTGATCAGAATTGCAATACTTTATAAGTTAACAGTGACAAACGATCAACTTTTTTCAATGTGAGGATTTTTGAGCAAGCGAAGCCAACTAAAGCGAATGAGTTGGTAAGCCTGAGAGCAAACGTCGGTAGACTTAATCGAAAATTAATGAAATTGCGGACTGTTCATGACCTTAGTTTCATTTCGCTCATAGAAGCAAATTATCAAACGAAGAATATGTAATATGTATCAAATTCATGTATTTTCAATAACTTTAATGTTTTATATATTGATTTAATGAAGTTTTTTTCGGCAACACCATTCAGTTAGCTAAGTCCCTTCAGGTTCTCTGAATCATTCTGCTTCATTATCTTATACATTAATCTTTGGTAGGAATTAACTGGTAGATCAGTTGAATGATTAGATGTACAAAAGTTTAATCAAGTTTATAATTACTGTTCTCATCCTTATCATTTGCAAAAACTAGAGTATTTTGATGACGATGATGCAATAAAAAGCCAAGTCTTGAATTCAGTGGTTATGAGTCATAACTTATGACGCAACTTCAATTATATACAAAGAAAATCTTAGCCTTGACATACCTTCAAAATGAGAAACTTCAAAACTACAAGAGGAAATGGGTTTGATGTCAAAGGGGAATGGTATTCCGTTAAATGAACTTTCTTTACATTCTGTACAGGCTACTAAGGTATTGGTACCACCTCAAACTATCCTTGTACGTGAGCATTATCTTTAGAAAATAAAAACAGCTTAAATAATCATTTGCGAAAATTCATCCAAAAGTAATTTACATCAATGTTCATGCTTTGACAGTTGTAAATAAACTTATTCCGATGAAATTGCTGCATAAAATATTAATTTAATATTACTGTCACTGTACATTATTGCAGTCATGTCAGCACTCAAGAAAATTGACAGTATTACAGTGTAGATAGTAAAGGGTGTAAGTCCCATGGAAATCTTGACCTCTACCATCGGTTGAACATTTTCAGCTGTTTAATTTTCATTTGGATAAGATATGCGCAACACCCTTTAGATATGTTTGATAATTTCATGTATTGCAGGGTCTTTTTCGGAAGGACTTACAATCATTCTATCTCAACAGTAATTAGTAATTTGTTGAAGATGAAAATGTCCAACCAAAGGTGAAGATTTTCATTTGACTTTCCATCACTTCCATTTTTTAGTCATAATCGAAGAAAGATATTTTAATTCAACTCTTCCACACAGAATTTTTATAAAATAGGAATATTTTTAGCTCGACTTTATCTATGTATTAGCGATAATAACCAAACACGACGAATAGGGAAGATAAAATCGTGTAAATAAAAAGTTCCAGTGAACTAACTGGGTACTGAATGCACGCTTATCAGAGGCATGACTCAAGCAAGCAACTTGCTCATTGCAATCAAATGTTGAAACGATTCTCTTTGGTTGATTTAGCCACCTGAGCGTAGTCAATCGATTGTGGTACCTTTTGATAACACGCTAAAATCACGGAAACAGAAATCTTATAATCACCTTAAGCCTTATTTAGATCTTAAATATGTGCAAACTATTGAGTGAGGACATAATGATCATGGTTAAATATGGTGTAGAGACTACATATCATGCTGTAGATTAGATTGAACAGTTGATGAAATTTGAAAAGATTTGAAATGAAAAGATTGAAACAATTTAACTAACTATTGAATGAAACCTTTTGACAGAAGACCATCAAAGTTAAAGAAGAGTTTGATGAGGTTGCAAAGCAACAAAATATTATGTTGACATCATAACTGGATGTAAATGGAGACAAAGGTCAGCGTCGATTCGTAAAAAACTGTGTCAGTAGTGTTTTATTGTCAAATATCAAATGATTAAACATAATCAATTGAAAAATTTAAGGCGTTTACTGTGATTTTACGATTGCATTAATTAATTAATTTAAAAGTTGATTTCAATTTACATTGGCATCATTTTCAAACGTACAAGATCATAAGTAAATTGAAATTGCTACTGTTTATTGTGTTTTTATCCGTTAAGGCTCAACATGTCATCTTCAATTCAAAATGAAAAATACGAAGAATTGTTTAAATCATTGATTTTATTCATTTTGCTTTCAACAGTTAAAACAGGTAAGAAAGATATTCATTAAATTCATTAATTAAATAATCTAAACTAATCCATTTCTAATTCAACTTCTAACTAACATAGGAAGTGCTATAGATTTGGTGGATTTGCCATTAAGCATACCTAGCAAAAGCGCTAATATTCACGCTACTTTAACTGATGCCGTAAGTTGAACAATCAAATAGTTGTCACTATTTTAACTCTAAATAATATGCGAATTACAAGTAAAAGAAAATCTCGATAACTTAATCTGAATCCAATGTTTATTATTTTTATCCAATGAGTTGATATTGAATTTGCTAGTGTAACTTTGAAAGCGTCAAGTTTTGGAGAAGTTAATAACAAGTTTAAATTGACTTGTAACAATTATCTTTTTAAATTCATGATTTACTTTGGAATCGTCCCTTTTGAAAAGTAAAGGACGATTATTTCATGCTAATAAACTATTCTCAAACTAATTATCAAATATTTTCATTCAATTCTAACCATTCCTCTTTCCTTGTTAGAGTGGAGTTATTAATAATAAGTATTTCATCCAAGAGTCAATATCAGCTTCTGGTGCTTCCATCAAAGGCAAAATCGTGATCTCAAGTGAAAAGGATTCTTACAATGTCTATTATGATACTGATCTTAGTCTTAACAAGGACCGTTTGGTTATTCATGGTAAGTCTTTAAAAATAAGAATCGATGAAATTAAAAATGATAATAATTTGCTGTAATATGATTCGATTGGTGATGAAATTCGCTATGAAATTATTTTAATGACAAGTCTTACTTATTTCATGATCTAAAGGTACAAATTGTGTACCATTTACTTTCAAGAACAATTGGGATGAAACTTTACCTGGAGTCAAAAGACCTGTAACTAATCTGGTACTCTTAATGGGACCTTCAATTTTATATCGACTTGATCATTCATCAATTGTTTGGGTAAGTATTCCAACAACATTATGAGAATGTTTAATCAGATTCATTCGTTGAATAACAGAAATCAGTTGCCGATAAAAACATAAGAGGAACCATGATGAAAGGTGCAACAACTCAAGTAAAAAATAAATTAAGAATAACTTACTATTACAAAAGTGAGTATGAATTGATTGAATGCTAAGATGAGCCTTTAACCATTTCCATGATTTTCACTTGCGAAAACTAGAGAATTTTGATGAAGGTTCTGGAATAAAAAATCCAAGTCGAATTGAATTCAGTGGTTATGATCCAACTTCAGTTATATACAAAGAGAATCTCATTCTTGATATTTACCTTCAAAACGAGAACTATTATGATGAACTTGCGAATGAAGTTCATGTAAGTATATCCCTTTATTTCATTATTCACATAAATTTCGATTTTCATTAAAGTGTCATAGTCACATGCAATCAGCAAAAATATCACAATATGTTGATAAAATATTTTGAGAGATCAAGTTTAAAGCATTCAAGAATTGAATGTCGCTCAAGCAAAATTGAATTTTTCCCTTACAATACTCGTAATATTTTCAAGATTTTTACGTTTCTTCATTGACTTTAAATTAGCCTTTACCTGGAATCGGATGCCCATATTACTTATCCACAAGCCCGACTCCATTCCCAGAATTGAGAACTGATTATGTTCATTACACTATGTACGAATACATTCAAGGTTCATCTACTTCTCGAACATTCAGTGAGGTTAGTTTATTCGGTCAACTATTTCCAATGTTACATTCATTTTCATTTCATTCCAGATTCATGCATCAAAAAAAAGACACCAAGCATTACTGCGACTAAAAGCAACCCTTCTTGGCGTAACAACTGAAGCTATTTATGATTATCAACTTGGAGTTTCTTACCTCTTTGAAGAGGGTGAATCCTGTAGAATATCATCTGCAGATTTAAATTCACCCGGAATCGGTTCTGATGGTTCCTTCAATTTGGATATTCTTTTCCTTCTTGATTCGCCTTTCAAATATCTTGGAAAGCTCAACTTAGTAAGTAATCAGCAAAATTTTGTAATTTTTATGGATGAAAGGAAGGGCCTCTAAAGCTTTTCATTCTTATCCTCATTAGCTAAGATCTTAAACTTTTTTGACAACAGATTTAATTATGAGAATCGCTGTTTTTTCTTAAACTATCCGTTTTTGAGATTATTAAGGTCAAAGTTTCTTCTAAAATATAATTCATTCTTATATTTTAGAAAAATGTAAAATAATACATTTAGGTCAATCGATCAATGACATTAAAAGTTTTCTATTCTTCACGAATGCTGAGATAAACGAATTAAAAAATCGCTCATAGTCCCAGCTTACAGAAATCACTCTCTAGTTTTTCAAGGCAATCTATCGTTCTTTAGACGCTATTTAATAAATGTAAAGTGAACAATAACTGTTCTTAAAGTATTTTTATATTTTCTTAGGAACATCGATCTGGATATCCTGTTCATGCATGGGAATCAATCAGATTCAATGTTAATATCAATGGGAAAAAGGCGGACAAAGCTGTCATTACTCAATATTTTGCTGAATCGGTAAGTTTGTCACTATTTTAATTACGTTAAACTATACTAACTCAAACTAATAGTGTAATAGCAAATAAAGTCAATTACAAAATAATAAGATAAAACAAATGAAAGTGTAGTGAGAATAGTGAAAATAAGGTTATTATAAGATAAGATAACCTAACATATGATTTTCTTGTGTAACTTAATTTTTTATTTCTCATTCAATTTGTGCTAAAATATTGAATTAAAATGGCTTTTAGCGAGACAGTGAACTATTTCGTGGCTTTACGCTTGTCAGTACCACAATTGCCATCTATAAATTGGATTCATCGGTAAGTATTCATTTATATGATTATGGTTCAGATGGAATTAATTTTCTTTGCATATTTTGTCTTTTTCTAGAAAAAAACTTATACGTTGACTGATGGAATTACAAGGGATTATATCAACTTTGAAAAAGCTGGATCCGAAGATGAACTTCATGATATTTTTACAATTAAAGATTGTAAATCCTTGATTAGTGATAAAACAGTAACCCTTGCCTACAAATTTGAATGTGAAGGTATGTATTTGGTAAAATGTTGCTGCTAGTTGATTGATGGAAACAGCTTATATTTGAAATTGAGCGAAGGTTGCATTGGATAGTGTTGTGCATAGAATAGTCACGGATTCGATAATAACATTTTTCTTATCCCCTGTAGATAGGAAATTCATCATTTTGAAATAATGAAGCAGCAAATAAGTAGCATTTTTGGGTGCATGACTTTTATGCTAATAACCTCTTAACGGACAATTTTCAAATTCAAATAAAAAAACATTTCGCACAATTTATATTGTATAACAATGAGAGGCTATGTAATTGCTCGCAAGTATTTGTTACTGATATTTTCCTTTTCATTTGCAGGTGACTCTTGTGTCGAATTCATGAAAAAACGTGTTTACGACTTGAAACGATCACTCGTCGATTTTATTTTATCCAAAAAAATCAGTCCACTTCGAATAGATAACGTTCAATATAATATCAATGGCGCACAACTTGAAATAGAAGTGACATTCCTGGATACACCTAATTTGCAATGTAGTTATCATTTGTCATTTCACATTCGTACAATTTAATTCAATTGTTGTACTTTTTTCTTTTCCAGATATTTTCAACTCTAAAACTATGTCCATCAGTGCAGATACATTTAGAAAGATGGAAAAAATCGAAGCAACCAGTGAATTTGAATGTCTGGACCAGTTATCAAGAGTCCAAAATGATATCGAGTATATCCATCAACATGTACATTTTGATTCAATTGAAAACTAATAATTTCGCTCTTCATTTCTCATTCAGTGTAGCGATTTATAGACCATCAGATTTTTCTTGTGGATATTTGACTAATTTTGAAGATCTCAAGGAAGATACAAAAAGTGGAGAACCATGCAGCGTCTATCACTTTCCTTTAAATAACTTGCGCCGCATTGACCAAGAGATACCACTAGACTCTATTCACGATGCTTTCAGGCAATATTTTGGATTCAGTATCTCTTATCATTCAGGAAATTCTCGTAAGTGCGCTTCAGTCTTTAGATATAAATATTTCCACTTTTATAATTGCTTTTAACTTTCGAATGAAACAGTCAAAAGTTGTCAGCTGTACTATTCAACAATGTCAACAGTAAAAGTATTGACTTGTTAAATTTGAAGAGCGATACCGATCAACGGAAAATATCATTATTTCACAATTTTTCAATTAAATAGCCATGGTTTCAATTCTGTTGGTTGATTAGCAAGTGGAAATATTTCACATAAGCGCACAGATTTTGAATATAATGTAAACTTTCTTACTTTTTCTTAGGGCTAGCTTATAAAATTATTGATGTTATCGACAAAACGAAGAATAAAATTACTTCAGCTGATGGCTTTCAATCCAGAATAAGAGTTGATGCGAAATTAAATGGCATTGATCAAGTTACTGTGACTGTACCAGATGCGAAAACTTTGGCTGATTGTTATCGAAACTGTCATAATTCAGAGCAACTCAAATGCAATATTTTTTCCTTTTGTTCAAATGGTGACTGTAGAGTCAGCAGTTTATTGACTGTAAACCTTTATAACGAATCGCACGTTGAACAAGACAAATCATGTTCTATTCACGCTGTGAATGTTATCAATGATTACGCAGAAGTACCTCAGAGGAAATTTAAAACTCAGGTTACAACCTCAGTCGAAAAAAATATTTATTCATGTGCAGAATACTGTCATGCTTCACCTGATTGTTTTTCCTTCCAATGGTGTGATTATCAATGTAGTTTTGGTGGTGTTTATACAGATGCAGTTACTGAATATGATGGAGAATGCAGTATATATCTTCGTGAGTATTCTGGGAAATGCGTGAAAAAGTCATTTTGTCTAATTTACTTCCTATTCATTAATTAAATTAGCCAAAGTATCTGAAAAGTATCAAAAGACTGGCAACAAAATCGTATCTGATGTGCTTTACACTGAAATGAATTTAAATTTTGAACAATGTGCATCATTATGTCATGGATGGTCCGATGGTGACACTGGATGTAAATCATTTAATTATTGCCCTAAAAGTAAAACAGAAAGTTCGTGTTCATTAACTCAATTTTCAGTTAAAAGTTCAAATACTAAGACCATCGAAGGAGGCGATTGTTCAAATTACGAGTTGAAAGTGGAATCAAATGGAAAGAAAAGGAAAGAATCCAGTTCGACTGAGGTGATGAAAGGAACAAGTGGATCAGGTGCTTTCGGAATAATTGTGCTCTTCTTGTTTGTTGGTGGTTTATTGGGATTCACTGGACCCCTTGGTTACGCTAAAGTTAAACAAATGCGTAATGCTTTAGAAGTCAATGAAAGTTTCAATTGGACAAGACAAGTAAATGAACAAGCTGAGAATATCAATTGAATTTCATTTTTAGATTACAGGACATGAAATTTTTATGCAATTTTTTCGAATCTGCGTGTCACCTTATCTCTGATTTTCAGTTTTGCAAAGCTGTTTCAATTTTAAATTACACTACTGTTGACTATCTGAAATTTACTCTCGACTAGAGTCCCGTTTTTCCAAATTAAAAATATCTCAATCTTAATCTTAAATACATTAAAATGTTAAATTACGCTATCGTAATTTAACATTTTTTTGAAAAAATCAAGCCAGAAATAATTGCGATTCATAACTCATGCGTTTGTATTTATAAAAAACAAACGAGTAATTTTATTAAAACACTAAATTATGAATTAATTGTATTTCGTTTTCATATCCCCGAGATCTCACCTACAATTGTTGAGCAATTCCATTCCTTAGCTTCATTGTTCATTTACTGTAAAGATTTGATTACCGTATTGAAGTTCAGAATGATAAAGTACGCTTTCATATAAGCATTTTTTGATTGTAAAAAAGGCGCGGGCATTCCAAAGAGAAGCAAGAGAAAGGACGAGAAGGCAAAGGAATCTGATCAACATGTAAGATAAAGGCTAATTCTGGATCTCCATCAAAGACGGCGCTGCTGTGTAAAAACAATTGAAAGCATTATAAGTACATATTAGATCACTACATTGGAGATGTTCATGGAAGAAGCCTTGGACCGAGTCATGATCACATCATAACATTTTTGAAATAAAATGGAACATCATGAGAGTGGAAAGATTACGGCTTAAAGATATTTCGAGCATCATGAAGAAAATGTTTGGATTTTCAGCCACCATATCCTCAACAATATTAAAATTTTCTGATGACCTCCCTGTTTCAAGTCTTCCGGTTTTATCCTCGTCAGCATCCAAAAGCTTTTGCAATTATTCAGTCTATTTTTGCTCTTACAATATTTAGCACCATTTATAAAGGGCGAGGCATAAGTCGGGTGACAAATTTAAATCAAATAATAAACTGGTAAAAAATCGGATTAGATTAAGAAGTTTAGGTTTTTTAGATTCACGAGAATGTGCTCTTTAATAAGGTATATTGTTTTTGAAAATGCAACAAGCAAAATGTCTAAAAAACGACAAAACGTTTGAGGCTGTTCCTTAGGTCAACGCCAGAGTCTTCTGGTACGATGCTATATGATAAGAGCCATTTTCACCATTTGCAAAGTAAAATTGACACAAACGAGAATAAATATGTTCACCTTTTTTGTCGTTTTTTAGACATGTTGTATGTTGAATTATCAAAAACAATATACCTAATTAAAGAGCACATTCTCGTGAATCTAAAAAACCTAAACTTCTTAACCTAATCCGATTTTTTATAGTTTATTATTGGATTTAAATTTGTCACCCGACTTATGCCTCACCCTTTAGATTAAGTTCCAATGAATTCTCCTTGACAGCTATATCGAAAGATGCTGAAGTACTTGTTCGAAATCATTCATTTCTGAAGCTACAATTGTCTCCATCCAGTGGGGATAAGTTTGACTTTCATTTTTAACTTTTAGACTGCTATCTCTTTCACTCTACTGTTTGTTTGTAATGAAATGAGATAATTCTAATTCTTATACCCTTACAATATGGATATTTGTAGTTAAACTTTATCTTTTGAAAATTAAAACCAACAGGCACTACGAATAAAGAAGATAAACTTGAAAGAACTGATAAAGTTCCAGTGAATTAACTGGGTGCTAAATACACCCAAATGAGAGACAAGAATTAAACAAAGGGAAAAAAGTTAGAGTCGATATGAGAAACAATGTCAATATTGTTTTGTTGTCAACTAAAATTTATATTTATTAAATAAAATCAAACTAACGATCTAAGGCGTTTATTGTGATTTTACGATTGCATGTTCTTCAATGAACCTAAAAGATGATTACAATTAACATTGGCATCATTTTCAAACGTGTAGTATCATAAGTAAATTGAATTTGTTACAGTTTATGTGATTGTTAATTACGAATCAACATGTCATACTCACTGCAGAACGAAAGATACAAAATTTTGTTTAAATTATTATTCATTTTACATTCAACAATTAAAACAGGTAAGAAAAAGATATTCATATATTGACAGAAAAAATAAACTAATAAATTTATAATTCAACTCATAAACATAGCAAGTGCTACAGATTTTTCGGATTTACCGTTAAGCATACCTGGCAAAAGTGCTAACATCAACGCTACTTTAACCGATTCCGTAAGTTGAACAACCTAGTGTTGTATTGTTCCAATATTTTCAAGGAACAAGAACAACGAGAAGAACAATTTCTTCGGAACAAGAACAAAAAATGTTGTTCCTAGCTCTTAAAATCGAGAACAAGAACAAGAACAAGAACAGTACAAATCGGAACAAAAAAAAACTAGCGGAACAAAACACTAAAACTGAGAACAATTTTGGTGAAAATTTTAATTTATCAACAGATTTTGGGCAAAATAGGGTTTGACTTGAATCCCTCTGGTGTTAAAGGGTTACTTTAGGCACTCATTTAGCATTTTATTGCGTCACCTTTGTTCTTTGCCAGGAACAATTGTTCTTTGTTTTGTTCTAGATTTTGGGTTGTTCTGTTCCTAGGTTGTTCCTAGTTCCGATTTTTCGGAACAAAACAACGGAACAGAACAAAGAACAATTGTTCCTGGCGCTGGAGAACAAGAACAATACAACACTAGAACAACCAAACAATTTTCACTATTTTAACACTTATGTTATGTGTCTTAGAATGCTGGCACTAAATATTTTATCCAGGAATCAATATCAGCTTCTAGTAGTGTTATCAAAGGCAAAATTTTGATCTCAGGTGAAAAGGATTCCTACAACATCTATTATACTACTCCTGGTTATTATAGAAAGGAACGTTTGGTTACTCATGGTAAGTGTTTAACTGAAAGGATTGGTATAATTAAAACAGTAAATACCTGTAACTTTCTGCAATATGTTTCGGTTCGTGAGAAAACTTTTTGTCTGCAATTTCTCAAGAAATGAGATTATATTCACTCATGGCATTCGCTGTAGAATTATTTTAATAATCATTCTTACTTATTTCACGATTTAAAGGTGCAAATTGTTTAAGATTTACTTTCAAGAACAATTGGGATGAAACTTTACCTGGAATCAAAAGACCTGTAACTAATCTGGTACTCTTAATGGGACCTTCAATTTTATATCGGCTTGGTCATTCATCAATTGTTTGGGTAAGTATTCCAACAATATTATGAGAATGTTTCAAGTAATAGCTAAGCCCCTACATCGAGAAGTTATGAGATTTCAAAGGCGAAGCTCGAGCGTTTCATCTTATAATTTTGATTAACCATTCACTGTTTGAGTTTCCATTTACCTTTACGCATCACGTATCAAATATGAAAGCATCAGTAATACAATGATAAAACTTTTTAGTTAGGATCTTGAATTATCTAAAATTCCATTCCTATTTTCCATGACGGTCGGTTTAGCTGAAAACTTTAACTGAAGTGATCTTTTGAGCAGAAACACAAAATTTTAATTCCATAAATAAGTCCATTTTCTGGTTTGCCATCAAAGGTTTTATCTCCAAAATGAGTTTGAATAAATCTAGCCCCATAATTGAACAAAAAGCAATCGAAGTTTCCGATTTGACTTCGATTTTCTTGAAAAATATCGATCAGAGAAATTTTCGGATAGCACTAATGGACTTAGTTTAAATGTTGCTACAAACCCTCAAACTCTACTTTCTAAGATTCCTAAGTCAACTCTTAACTCCAAAGTCAAATAATAATTGACAAAACACCTTATTTCATCCATTTTTCACACAAGTCAGTGATTGTTATCAACCCATTCAAATAACTAGTACAAATAAACAAAAACAATCAGTTGAAATTTATCAGCATTTATCATTCACTCATTGTAACCTTTATTTGTTGAATTACAGAAAGCAGTTGCTGATAAAAACATAAGAGGAACCATGATGAAAGGAGCGACAACTGACATAAATGAAAGATTGAAAATCACTTTTTATTACAAAAGTGAGTAGGAATTTCTTGATTAGATGAAACAAGTTTAACCGTGTTCAACCACTCTCGTCCTTTTCCTTTTTTAAAACTAGAGCACTTTACTGACGATTATGGAATTAAACATCCAAGTCGAATTGAATTCAGTGGTTATGATCCATATTCAACTTCAATCAGCTACAAAGAGAATCTTATTCTTGACATTTACCTTCAAAATGAAAACTATTATGATCAACTTGCGAACGAAGTTAATGTAAGTATTTCACTTAAGTGCTCTTATTATTCACAATGATTTTTAACAGTTGAGCGTCACAATCAAATGCAATCAGACAAAAAATATCATAATATGTTGATAAAATATTTTGTGAGATCCAGTTCAAAGCATTCAAGATTGCGGCGTCTTCTCTAAGATGTTTGTTAATATTAAACAAACGCCTTAACTTACCGTGTTTCCGCACAAAGAAGGCCAGAGCTTATTAATGAAAACTTCACTTATTCCCCCTTTTTACTCTATTTGAATAAGCCCAGTTTTTTTTTCAATAGAGTTATAGCATTGCGGCTAATTAATGAGAAAATCCAAGGGCTAATTAGTGAGAATTTTGATGAATAAGCTCTGGCCTTCTTTGTGCGGAAACACGGTAGTAAAGGCGTTGTAAAGTTTACAATACTCGTGAGAACTTCAAGATTTTAACTTTTCTACATTTTCATTGACTGTTGATTAGCCTTTAACTGGAATTGGATGCCCATATTACTCATCTTCGGCTAGCTACCCGTACCCGTCATTGAAAGCTGATTATGTACATTACACTATGCACGAGTACATTCAAGGTTCAACTACTGCTCGAACATTTAGTGAGGTTAGTTTGTTTGGTCAAATATTTCCAATGTTTCATTCATTTTCATTTCATTTTCAGATTCATGCATCAAGAAAGCAAAACTTATTGCGAGTAAGATCAACTCTTCTTGGCGTAGCAACTGAAGCTATTTATGATTATAACCTCGGAGTTTCTTACCTCTTTGAAGAGGGTGGATCCTGTAGCATATTACCTGCAGATTTAAATTCACCCGGAGTCAATTCTTATGGTTACTTCACTTTGACCAGTCTTTTCCTCGATGGAGAGTCTTTCGCATATATTGGAAAGCTCAACTTAGTAAGTGATCAACAAGAATTAGTAATTCAATGGATGAAATTTCATTAAGGATCTATATTTTAGGAGAGTTCAATTATTTAATTTTCTTCTCATGATGAAACTTTCACCATTACTGAATTGGGAGGTGAAAAATATAACCTAACCTTCATTATGGTCAGGGATTCATTTATTGAAAATAGCTAGCTATAGTAGTAGCCATTGTAGCTAAAATAATAATTGAATATCAATTGGAATATTTCGATATCAAAAACACAAACATCTTTGAAGCATATGGAAAGGAAAATAAGTAATAAATTATTAATAGAAATGCAGTAATCATTCGCTCGTACGATCATTTTCAATTTCTTTCTGGGTTCTATTGTAGAGGACAAAAAATCGCAATATTTTGCTTTTGGTTCGTTAATAATATTAGGCTTTTTTAGTTTATGATACTAATGAATGGTGAAAAGTCCTTAAGACAAATTTTAGCAGAAAAATAAAAACATATCTTAATGGAATGGTGAATGGACTAGTTCAGGGACTACAATAAATTACAATGCAATAGTCTTACCTAAAAAGGCCTGAATATTATTAACCACACACTAGCGAAACAAGAGCAAAAGTCTCATTATTTTTCGTCTTCAACATAAGGCCGAAAAAGATTTAAAAAGATTCTACAAGCGAGCGCTCTTCCCTTGTAAGATTGAATGTAAAGTTAACAATAACTGTTCTGAAATTACTTTTGTATATTTTCTTAGGATCACCGATCTGGGTTTCCAGTAAGGGCATGGGAAGCAATAAAATATAATGCTACTATCAACGGGAAAAAGGCCGACAAAGCTGTCGTTACTCAATATTTTGCTGAATCGGTAAGTTTATCATAGTTTTAATTACGGCTTACTATTGGAGTAATATAATAAATAAAAATAAAATTATAAAATAATTGATATCTATTATCTCTAATATATGTGCTAAAATACTCAATCAAAATGGCTTTTAGCAAGACGTTGGAGTATTTTTTGTTTATACGCTTGTCAGTACCAAGATTACACTCTATAAATGGGATCCATCGGTTAGTATTCATTTGAATGATTATGATTCACAAAATATTAATGTTTCTCTGCATATCTTTTGCTAGAAAAAAACTTATACTTTGACGGATGGAATTACAAGAGATTACATGAACTTTGAAACTGCCGGATCTGAAGATGAACTTCATGATAAGTTTACAATAAAAGAGTGTAAATACTTGATTAGTGATAAAACATCAACCCTTGCCTTCAAATTTCAATGTGAAGGTATGTACCGGTAACATTTGATAAAATTTGCTTCGATCTTGTGTTATGGCTGTCTCTTACCGTCTCTTACTGCATGACCTACGTCTAATCGTCTTCTCCTTGAGCAAGTATCTTACAATGGCGATACAGTTGACATTGACTACACCTTTCAATCCAGTGACATTTTGCATTTGCGTTGTTGTGCATAGAATAGTCACAGATTTGATATTTTTCATCTCATTTTGCCTATTCACTGTAGATAGCAAATCCATGATTTTTTGAAACGCATTGCTATGAAGCCTATCTAATATAATATAGCTATTTAATAATTGGGTTTAAGTATTTGTAACTCATATTTTTGCTTTTCATTTGCAGGTGACTCTTGTGTCGACAGTATGGAAAATCATGTTTACTATTTGAAAAAGTCGATAATGGAATATGTCATTTTTGAAAAACCCATTAGTCCACTTCGAGTCGATAACGTTCAATATAATTTCATGGACCGACAATTTGAAATGGAAGTGACATTCCTGGATTCACCTAATTTGAAATGTAATTATCATTGACATTTTACATTCGTACAGTTTAATTGAACTGTTGGATTTTTTCTTTTTCAGATATTTTCAACTCTAAAACAATGTCTGTCAGTGGAGATACAATTAGAAAGATGAAAACAATCAGAGCAAGCAGTGAATATGAATGTCTGGAGAAATTATCAAAAAACCAAGAAAAAATCATGTATGTATCACGGAACTTACAGATTTTGATTCAACTGGGTGCTAACTATTTTGTTATTTTCTCCCTTAGTGTAGTAATTTATAAACCATCATCCACTTGTGGATATCTGACAGATTTTAATGATCTCAAGGAAGATACAAAAGGCGGACAACCATGCAGCGTCTATCACTTTCCTTTACATAACTTGCAACGCATTGAACAAGAGATACCACTTGATCAACTTCACAATAAACTTATGTCAAGTTTAGGATTCAAGATCCTTTATCGTAAGTACTTCCCAGCCTTTAACTATAGTGAAATATTTCCACTTTTGAGTGCTTATAACTTTTGAAGAAACAAAAAATCCAATTATTAATACATCAGCCAAATTAATTTGGTATACTTTCTCAGTACTAACCTGTGTGGATAAATCATAAGACTTCAAACTTTACAAATACATTAGCAGAAAATCCCATAATCTATCAATACAGGTTAGTTTTAATTACGCTGGGTAGTCAGAGAGTGGAAATATTTCACTATTATTTATTTTCACAAACGCACAGACTTTGAATATCATGTAACCTTTCTTTATAAACTTTTTCTTTGAAGAGGGAACTTATACACTTACTGATATTATCGACAAAACGGATAATAAAATTACTCCGAATGATCTCTTTCAAACCAAAATTAGAGTTGAAGCAAAATTAAAAAGCAACGATCAAGTTACAGTGGCTGCTCCAGGTGCGAAAACATTAGCTGATTGTTATCGAACCTGTCATAATTCAGAGCAACTTAAATGCAATACTTTCTCATTCTGTGAAAATGGGGACTGTAGAGTAAGCAGCTTATTGACGGAAGACTCGTATAACGATTCGCGTGTTGAAGAAGACAAATCATGTTCAATTCACGCTGTGAATGTTTTCAATGATTACTTAGAAGTACCTCAGAGGAAATTTAAAACTCAGACTTCCATCGCAGTCGACAAAAATGTTGATTCTTGTGCAGAATATTGTCATGCTTCACCTGATTGTTTCTCATTCCAATGGTGTAATTACCAATGTAGTTTTGGTAATTTTTATACAGATTCATCCACTGAATATGATGGTGAATGCAGTGTATATCTTCGTAAGTATTCTTCGAAATAAGCAACAAGTTTTGTTTTAACTAATTATTGTTTATCAATCCATGAATTCAATTAGCCAAAGTATCTGAAAAGTACCAAAAGACTGGCAAGAAAATCGTGTCTGATGTGCTTTACACTGAAATGAATTTAAATTTTGAACAATGTGCATCATTATGTCATGGATGGTCCGATGGTCAAACTGGATGTAAATCATTTAATTATTGCCCTAAAAGTAAAACAGAAAGTTCGTGTTCATTGACTCAATTTTCAGTTAAAAGTTCAAATACTAAGACCATCGAAGGAGGTGATTGTTCAAATTACGAGTTGAAAGTGGGTTCAAATGGAAAGAAAAGTAAAGAATCTAGTTCGACTGAGGCAACGACAGGGACAAGTGGATCAGGTGCTTTTGGAATAATTATGCTGTTCTTGTTTGTCGGTGCTTTATTGGGATTCGCTGGACCACTTGGTTACACTAAAGTTAAACAAATGCGTAATGCTTCAGAAGCCAATGAAAGTTTCAGTTGGACAAGACAAGTAAATGAACAAGCTGAGAATATCAATTGAATTAAAGTTTCAAATCCCAAAATGAGCTATTGCTAATCGAACGCTGTAAATTTTCGGTCAAGCTTTATCGCTACTTTCCATATTTGAAAAGCGATGTTGAAAATTTGTATTACAATAACAATAAAATACTTTACGATCCATTTGATTTTTTTATTTCTATTAGATTCTTATGCAAATATAAACGTTTGAAATGTAAGCTAATCGTAACATCGTAATCCCGAAAGAGATAAGTTCTTTATGAAGCACTTTTTACAATAACAATATATGTAGTTAAACTTTATCGATCCAGGATTAAAATCCCTAACTACGACGAATAGGGAAGATAAACAACTAATTGGGTACTGAATATACGCAAATCAGAGGAAAGACAAAAGGACAAAACTTAGAGTCGATATGAGAAATAATGTGTCAATATCGTCAAACCAAATGTGAACTTATTAAACACAATCAATCTAATAGTCTGAGGTGTTTCTTGTGATTTTAAACCTTTTATTGCGTGTTGGTCAATGAATATAAAAGATGGTTGCAGTTAAAATTTGCATCTTTCATCAACATCTTAATTCAATGCAAATCTTTTTGTCGAGTGAACAACAAAACGAGGGCAAAAAGTATAAGAGCAAACACTTAATGCATCTCAAGACGAAGCAGTTACCTTCAAAAGTTTCTCAATGACATCGTCTACAAATTCATTTCAATGAAAAATCATCCAACTTTTGTATCATTTTTAGTCCCAATACAACATCTTATCCAGACTGTTCCTTAAGAGACTTTCCTTCCTTGGTGTTTCATGCTTAGTTCAATCATTTGACTCTCCAATTATCCTTGACCAACTTTTTTTTAATCCTTATTTTTCGAGTTTCACAACGTTCTTATTTATGACAGTGTTTCACTTCCAATTCTAACAAGCTCAGTCCCTCTAAGCGATTACCATGTTGTAATCAATCCATAAACTCTATGATTTTTCCAGAAATAGACAACTCATTAGACAACTTTTGCTTAGCTATTCAACCTCGACAAATATTCTGCTGACTTAACATACTGACTGACAAATACCTGGTATAAGCTGAAAGCAGAGTCACTATAATTACCATTTAAATGCTCATACTATAAGCACATCAAAATTCGTCGCAATGGATTCTATCAATGGTCAAATCACCCAAATCGGTACACTTACCAAGTTTCAACATCTTGGTGCAACAGCGACTAAACCACAAGTTTGGAATCTATCATGTAACCATTTAAAGGACAATGAAAAGTTTTAGTTACATGCAAAATAAAAGCTTTCTATGCATTTTAAGCAACAGTTTTCTTGTTCTTTAATACTTCCAAATGTTATTTTCTATCGATTTCTCAATATTAATCTAAATCGAAGAGTAACAGTAAAATTGAATTGAAATGGATACCGATTTGATGCAATTGATAATCATAAAGAAATAATTGCTTCAAGATTGAAAAATATTAAATGATATGAAATATAATATGCAGTGAATAAATCTGGTGCATCTGGATTCATGGCTTTGGGAACATTTCGACATAATAAGCATATTTCAGCAAAATAGCGATTTGGTAAACTTCTTGATCTAATGTCAAATGCTAAATTTAAAACGAATGAACAATTTTCTATCCTTTAGCATTTTGATCATGGCGGTATGAAGTCATGACATTTATTTGTGACTTGATGTAACAACAATAATTGTTTCCTTTCGTCTTTCCTCTCAATAGTCCCAAGTTTTGAACGATTGAAGTCTCAGACTTCGGAACGTTCTGTGGTGAAAAGAATTTCCTTCAGATATTAGCTTAACTTCGCTAATATTGTCATTAAAGGTCAGCTTATGTTGATTGCATGTTAGACTCAACATCATGACTGATTTATAACATGAATGTTTAACAGATGTAATCTGAAAAGTTATCTTTATTCACCAGAAATATTCTTCTTTTGTTCTCTTTTTACGAAAAAAATTTCATACAAGAAAATCAGATGAAACAGATAATTTTTCAGCCCAGTAAATTTAATTCCATGCTATAATGAAAGCCTGAAAAAATTTTATATCTCACAAATAAAGAGAAATAAAAGTGCGAGAAAAAAAGGGAAAAAGGAAAGAGAAGAGAAACTGAACTTTTCCAAACTGATTCTGATGGTTTCTCCTGATAATCGCGCCAACTCATTGAACACTCGTCTCTATGGCAACAATTGGTTGTATGCTGGGATCACAAGATCTTCATATAAAGATGACTTTCTCTCCCATTCAGTTTATATTTCCTCTTTGATTCAGTTCAACTCAAGATCACACGAGCGAATAAAAGTAACAACAAAACACCGCCAATTACGTCAATCAATCGAATCAAAGCTTAAGCCAAAAACTCAACTAACAAACTTGAACCAGTGAACTTAAACCTTACAAGTTAATCCTTGTCTCAACATTATTGTTTCAATACCAACTAATATTATTGTTTCATAAACTTTCCAAATCTTGAAAACTGTAAATTGTGCAAACCAGTGCTTGAACTATTCACTGCAAAACAACGCACTTCTCACTTCAACTTCTTGTTCCAAAAACTAAAGGTAAGCCTCATTTCGCACATTTATTAACACTTTAACTTTCATTATTTTTACACTTATTTAACCACTTGAATGAACCTGAAATATTTGAAAGGTTGAACCTTTAAATTTGGAAACAAATTTTTCAAGATTTGTCAAACATTTGCCCAAACATTGAAGCAAGAAAAGCTATTAATTAAACAATTAGCATAAAAGTGAGTAACGATGAATAGCAAAAATCATTAAAAAACTGTTCCATAATCATTATTCGTTAATCATTTCATCTTCAAGCTTTTTCTTTGCTAACATTTTGTTTCTTTTAGTTGAAGCCTTTTTTGCATTTCTGTTCATTGTAATACTCATTAATATGTATTATTTGCTCGACTAAACACGAAACGTTGATTCCCTATTAATTGTACATTACTTTGGGTATTCCTTGATTTACTCTTGAAAATAATTCAATTCATCGATGATGAGATGATCAGCTACAGGGAAAAGAATGGAAAACAAATGTATCTGAAAAGTGCATTGAAATGAGTTGGAAAAGCTCTTCTCTTTTCATACTTGATTCACTTTCATCTCTTCAACCATTATATTGATTGGATAAACTGTTTCATTCCAATTCTCAATCCACTGAAAAGTTCTAATTTTATCCTGAAAAGTGGCAAAAAATGTAAAGAAAACAAAAGAAGTGCTAAGAGAAGAAGAAATTATCCATCGAAATGCAACAAAATGTATATTCATCTGTAAAACCTTGAATCTCTCTTCCTGAAGAAATGCAAAAATCCATCAACCATGAACTCAACTTTTGCCTGAATCACGTTTATCGGGATCATCATCAATTTCTTCATCAGCTTTCAATTCTTTATCAATATTTTCATGGACTTTTCCTTTTCTTTTCTCATCATTATCATCATTCTCTCAATGGATTTTTCTTTTCTCTCTTCTTCGCTTCTAATGATGAGACCAACGATTTAGGATGAAAAGCAAGTTGCAAGCAAACAGTAAAGATGATTAGGATGATGGAATTGATGATGAAAACATTCATCTTGATTTATCCTCAGAATCACTTTAACTTAACCAATCATGAGCTTCTTCATCGATAAACTAAACATTAGCAACTTTCGGATCAACTCATTATCTGACTTCCTTTATCAATCTCATTGGGAATGTAACTAGAGCAAGGATAAAATGTTGAATAATCTTGGCTTGGAATAACCTTGAAATTGGTTTCTTTTTTTCGAACGATAAGAAGAAAAAAAAATCACATTAGTTGAGGTAAAAAAGAAGGGATGAAACACTTTCTCCGATAAAAAAGAGAAGTTCAACTTTCACATGAACTTCACCATTCTTTTCCGTTCAACATCTTTGTCCTGTCACAAAATTCCTTGTGATATTCAACATTCTTCCATTCAAATGCCTTCTCAAGTTGGGTGAAAAGAATTTTGCATGAAAAAGAATTTACTTTTGATCACATTTTCCCAGGCATCACCTAAACATGAACATTTATCAAAATCACTTGTTCAGAGTTTAGCAGAAGCAGAGAGAAAAAAATGATAACATAACATGAGATTAGAAAGAAACAGGAAAAGAAGAAATATTTTTTTTCTTATGTCAAGAAAAAAAGGTGAAAACTTGTAAAGAATAAAAGTATTTGCTTTGAAGCTGCCAATGAAAACTCAGAAAATTGAATAAAAACTGAGGTTTTACCATGAAAAGAGAAAAATGGGGAAATTGTTTCCAGATTCTCAAGATATTGTTGCAAATTGAAAGGTTACTTTTGAAATGGAAAAGTGAATTTTATTTTTTTCTCTTTTTTTGTTCAAAGTGATTTAATGATGCAAATCAATTGATAATCAGTAAATTCATGTAAATTTCTCGATTCATGAATCATGAATGATATTGAGGCAAGTTTCAACTGGAAATTATTCTCAACTTTTTTGTTCTGAAAGTTTCCATTGGTTGACATTTACCTGAGGCTGAGTCACCTTTGAATCTCATTGCAAACAGAAATCTGAATCTGATTGAAGAATAGATTTCACCCAGAAAATGATTCCATCCAGGATTGCCTTTTCCGAATGTAGACTGGGAATTGAGTTCAATCAGTGATAGCATGATAAACACCAGATCAATTAGATGGAAAACAAAATCCAGGGAAAATTCAGGTTCTTTTTTGTTCAAGCTCATTGGACACAAAAAAAAGAAATGAAACTAAAATGAAATATCATGAAGGCAACAAAAGACGGAATTAAAGATAACAAAGTAAATTTTTTCACTTCTTTCTTCATTTTTGTCTCTTTTCTCAACTATTTTTAACTTTAATCAACTTTACTTTTTTGTAATTTTTACAATCTTTGAGTCAAGGTGAAGCAAGTTATTAAATTGTTATTGAAATGTTGTTATTACAGGGAATGAAGGTTTTGTCTGTTGGTTATCAGTGAATCAACTTGAAACATTATTGATCTTTTGATTGTTGAGACAAAATGCAACAATTTCAATCAATGTGTTAAAAGGTTTAGTCTAGTTGCTATTCATTTCATTAGTTTTGATTACATTATTACATTATTATCATTATATTGAGGGAAAAGTGAAAAAATGGAAATCACGAAAGTTTCATATTAAATTGATTCTTTCAATTTATCAATGTCAATTGTGATTAAGAGTGTTATTAGTTTCAAGTTACAGTTGACAGGTTGAAACAAGAGGACCCAAAATGAGCCACAAAAACAGCATTTTCACCTGTCAGTTGAACAGTCTCAACAAATAATCATTGATATTCATAATGTTAAAGGTATATAATAAGATAATGATTGATAAGCCTTGAGATTTCCATCTTTAAACATTGTTTGAACATTTTAATGGACTTGCGACTTATGCGCAAACATGATACAGTTCATGGATAAGTTGAGCAATGGAATCATGCATCTCAAGTTGGCTACTCAGCTGAGAGACGAACATTAATTTCAACAAAATACAGAAAATAAAAAAAATTGGAATTCCATTAGAATTAATGCTTAATGGAGTTAACCAAATGATTTCTAATAAAATAGAGGAAAATTCTCGTTTTCAAGAAAATTTCAGTTGAAATAAAAGAATCTAAAATTTCGCTATTAGCAACTCAAAAAATCTGGCAAAGAATTTTATTTTTGAATGAAAATTTCACAACTTTTGGAAATAAAAAAGGTTTTTGTTTACGAAAAGAAAATAGCACTTTATCTTTTTTCAAAGAATATTGAATTTCAGCAATTTCGTTTCTACGAGAAATTAAATTGAAGCAATGAATCGAAAATTTCGTTTTAAAATTCCAAAAAGTGAATCATTAAAGTTCTGAAAACGAATAAAATTTTTGAGCAAAAATCTCGATTTTGTAAATAAGTTTGTTTACAAAAGAAAATTGAAAAATATCAAACGAAAATTTCCTTTTGAATAACATTTTAATCCATTTTCATCTAACATTGAATCGTAAATTGATTTACTGTCTTAACGATTGAGACATGACAGAACCTTGATGGCCATTGTTTGATCATTTTAAGTTGGATTTGATTCAAATCCTGAATTTCCAGAATAATGAATTTTGCATGAATTTAGGTTAACAAAAAGGTTACATTAAGAAAACAAAAGGATTGTCTGTGCACGTTTCAAAAATTTTCAAAACTTCATGTTTCAAAATTTAGAATAAAAAAAATTCGAAACCAAAAATGTTGTAAAAATAACACTAATAAAGATGGTAATAAACGAGATAATGTTATTCATTGAGAATATTCTGTGCGCAGTTTTCATGAATAAAACGGTCAAGGTGAATGTCGAGCGACTATAAATATTGTAAACAATTTATCTCAATAAAGTTGTAGACTCAATGTTGACTGAAGAGAAAATTTATGTGCTAAATTGCATTTTATTTCAATTAATATAATTAATACAATATTTCTTGATACGTCAACCTTGAGTTACAAAGTAATTAGGCTGATGATTAAGATGATGATGAGCTTGATATTCAGAGGCAAACAAGAAAAAAACATTGAATAAGGAAGTGAGAGAAGAATCGAGCATCTCAAGAATTTGCCTTTACCAGCAATTTCCTTTTCCTTTCATCTTTTAATCTTCTTTTCACGCTTCTCATTCCTATTCTCATCATTTTCATCATCATTCTCAGAAGTTTCTTGCGATTCCTTTCAAAAGTTGACCCAATTTCGTGGTAATAAATGGTCACTTTGTTTCTCCTTCTGATAATATCTCATGGAGTTTTTTTCGCTGTTTACAGAACTTTTTTGTTTCTCCATTTTTTCCTTTTTCATGCTTTCTTTTGTTTCCAATATTTTTCTCAATTAGAACGGAAGTTGATTTTGATTGCTTATTATTAAATTTTCTCCTTTTGTTTCTGAACAAGATTTATGATCATTGATATGATATACACACACAATTCCCAGAATAACATGAAAATGCTGTAAACAAGAGTTTTCTATTTTTTCTCCCTTCGTGTGTTCACACATTGGCTCAAGGTTATCAAAATTAGGGTTAAACCTTTCAGCTTTATCACTGGTCTGAATGGATCATGAAATGGTTTATCTCAATGTTAACACAGATAACGACACAATAAACAAGAGCAACTTTGTTATCATGCAATTTACCAACTAAATTTCAATTTGTTTCCACGTAAAAAAATGTCCCATTTTCAGAGCCAAATAACATTTCATTAAAATAACAATGTTAACATGTTAACAACTTTACCGACAATTATTTTATTATCTTTATTTAACCTCTTTTTTGGTCAAATAAACTCGACTGCTTAAAGGTTAACTTCATGTTGCTTCATTTCCAGGATAATTGATGAAACTCTAATCAATCAAACTAGAGTCAAACTATACAATGAGATGAACATGTAATGATGAATAAAGATGACAATCGTTTATCAGCTTATAAGGAGTCGACATTCATTCAACCTCCCTTCACTCAAAGCTATTTATTGTCAATCCCTTCAGTTTAATCCAACATTTTTTATTCACTTTGCTTTTTCATTTGCATAT